GGGGTGCTTGGGCAAAAACAAAAATGCGCGGGAACCCCTTGTTTCCACATGCCAGACTCGGGTTTTGCACGGGTGTCCGTGCCCAAGCTGTTTGGTTCCTGGCGTATGACGGTGTGGCTAATGTGATCGACCAACATGGGTGGAACAGCTGAGGTTGCAGGCTGTCCATGATTCGCAGTGTGCCCAGATGAGGGACATGCTGGGTTGTTGTGAATATGATTCACCCTCCAGGTGGGCCAGACATCTGTGGTCATGCGACATTGTGCAGGCATACATATGCATTTTGATTGCGATGGCTAGCGGCAAGGCATCCCGCACAGGTTTTGCAATGTTGCCCAGCGGTCCGCGCTGCCATGGAAGGCAAGTTTTGGGAAGCCGTTTTGTTGTCGCACCTATGTCTGGTAGTGCCACTGCTCCCGTTTGTTGGATTGACGACTTTGTCGGCAGGGTTGAATGACAGCAGCTTGCAGGCGGGTAGCTTGATTATGCTGATGTTCTCGACGCGAGAAATTCAAAATCGGAACTCAAAATCGGAACTGGAGGATCTTGAAGGGCATCGTTGGCGATTTCCCAATTTGTGCCTGCGCTTGGGTGATCTGGGGTATGTAGCTTCAAACATGGTAGCCAGCAACAAGGCCCACGGGATGTCCCAGGTCAAATCACGCCCTTCGCAGCGGCAGTGCGCTGAGATAGCTAGCTAGCTGAGTGACAGTGAGACGCACTGGAGTCCCCTTAGGCGTACGGTTGGGCTCAATGATTGATCTTCACGCGCCAATCCAAGCTGCACGTTGCCGGATCAAGCGTAAGCTCACGTTTTGCGTTGATTGATCCCGGGTTGCCTCCCTTTATGAATAGCGGGCATAGCACAAGTTTTTTGAAGATGCTTGTGCGTATTTGCAAGCTCTAGTTTCTGTCAATGCTGTCAAAAGGATCAGCCGGGTCCGGGGCTGCTGTCGCATTGGCCCCTTGTTGCACACCAATGCGTTGGCTAAGGTACCTATACGTACTAGGTTGGGAAATCAACTTTTGGCGCTTTGAACCAAAACGGAGCGCACTGAGTCTAGGCATGTGATGTGTTCGTTGATCTTGGTTGCCCAGCTCATCCTTGTACCCTCAGACCTGAACCACCCGTTAACCTTACTCCCAGAACATCCCAGAACCATAGCCGAACGGTTTTTGGCAAGGTGGTGGAGCGCGTCGAATTGCCAGCAAAATCACACCACCAAGGCGTCTTGCTGGGAAATTGTCAGCGTGATACTATGATTTGTACAATGAATCTACAACCAAGTGACAGTTGATTTGCGACATTTTCCTCGACAAGTGTCTTGCTGTTGGTATGCTCCGGTGGATGTGGAGGCGCAACATAGCGCAATTGTTCCATAAACAAAGAGTCAATTCTACAAGGACACGAGACATGGCAGCACATGGCGCAGGAAGGCATTCTCGAAGAGGAGTTGCCTGAAGGAGCCGAACTTGTGCAGGCCAACAACTTACAAGCTCCTCCGAAAAAGTGGTCCAAGGGGAGGGTAGCCATGCTTGTAACCCCTAGCGCTCCCTGATCCTGCAAGTGCTCCCCAGAAGGACCACACCATCACCGCACCACCAGGGCACAAATTGTATATACATGGTAAACAACAGCGCAAGGAGGACTCCTTGGGCTTCAGCGAGGTGTCGGCCTGCGTCCCAGAACGCTGCTCCAGCGTCTTGGCTTGCAGTGTCACAGCATCACATGTTTCAGGCGTCGAAGAAGGCAGCTTTCGGAGCCCTGCTTCTTGGCTGCGCTGAGAGCACCAGCCTGAATTCTGGTGGCGCCACTGCGCACAGATCATCCTCATGCTAGCGAGATCAGAGAGGCTTCGGTGGATCTTGATGACGCGGAAGACATTGCAATCCCTGGAGGTCAGAATTGAGAATGCAAATGCGGTGGTTTCCGGATGGGAACGCTCTGACAGCAAGGCAGGCGCGGGTGTGCCCAGCTCACACCCATGTTTTGCCCTCCAAGACCACATCGATCCGTAATGATCAGAAAACCCTTCGATGTTCAACATCTCAAATTGCGCCGTAAGCAAGCGATGCGGATGGCTCTTTCCGTGTTAAAGGGCATGCTGTAAGCGTGGCAGGGCAGCTCCAACACACGGTAGCCTGCTAGGCCAGGTGGATGCTCGCTCTACCTGGTGGTGGAAGCAGCATCCGATTGCTGTCCGACGGTGCGCTGTTTGCATGTTGTTGTGAGTGTCCAGCCGTACTGGCCATGTCAGTTTCCCAGGCAATTACTTTTGAGCTTCGTGTCGGAAGACTCCGTAGAGTGCCGGTCTCGCATCGGTTTTTGCCAAGACCAGTTAGGAGGTATGTCGGGGGCAGTATTTCTTCTGCCGGCAGTTCAGCCTCGAGCATAGAGCTCATAGAGCCGTTATCATGCCTAATGCTTTCCAAAGCCTGTCCGATGACACCTACGGCCCTCAGTTTTTGCACAATGCAGTGGTAATCAGTGAGACGGCCGCCGCAGCTGAGCGTTTGGCAGCAGTTCTAGCATCCTATCGTGGCGATCGCTCCCTAGGAATCGCGGCTGCCGTTTGCAGTTCTGAGCGTGTGGACGAACCTGCAGACTTGGAGGGCTACACTGTCACCATTGAAGCCCAGGAGTTGGATGACCTTGCTCCTGAGGATTTTGATATTGTGATTTTTCTCAAGCGTCCTGATGGTTCCGATCGCAGTGAGATATTGGACACCGCATGGACGGAGAAGACAATTTTCAGGCGATGGGAGCCACAAGCAGAGAAAGGAGAGGAGCAGATTCAGGAGTTGATGACAAAGATGGATGATGTTGCCATGCGACGGGCTTGTGGAGCAGGGACGTCATGCTGAGGGGGTTTCTGCTAAGCAAGCTGCTTTCCGCTGTTCTTGGCTGCCATGATGCACCATGGCAATGTTAATGATGAAGAAATGGTTGATCGAAAACCGACTAGTTTTTGTGAGCAACGCTGGGCATTCGATGCGCTTTGTGCGGCCAGATGTGATGTGGCAGCAGGATAGGCTTCTCGGGCCAGTTCGCCACGGAGAGATGTTGCGCGTTGCGCTGATGGCCTGGCGTCTGATTACTTTGCACAGCTGCTGCTTGCAGTGCTTGTATCATTGCGAAGCAATGCCACACATCACCTATGCGGATACAACATCAACAAAAAACCCTGTTGGGCGGGCCATGGTGTAAGCTGAAGTGTGTTGCTTAATATGCTGGCTGCCAGCTAAGTCAATCTGGTAAGCACCCCAGGTGTTCCATCATGACTTTGCAGCTTGTTGGCAGCCCGGCTTTCCTTCCAAGAGCGTAGCTGACAGGAACAGACTCTCCTGTGCCGCAGGTCCGCAGTGGGGGAGTGCGGACTTCGGAGATCTTCTAGCTGAAGTAGAAGGCGCGTCAAATTAAGGCGTGTCATGCAGAATCATATTCTTCGCAGAACTTGTAGGAGGCGCTTGTCAAGCCCAGGGAGCGTGAGCCATGGTCATGGACGTTGTAATTTGCCTCATGGAATGATGGGCTTGAATCAGCAAGGTTTGGCTACAAGTGACGTTGCCCTGCACCAAGAATTTCAGAAGCTGTAGCAAAATCAAAGCCCGGGAGAGGCATCTGTAAATGATGCCAGGTTGGAGGTGCCCGCTGCCTTCCAAATTTGCCGGTCTTTGGAACCCTCCGAGGTGGCTTTTGGCCCAGGAGTTCTGCAGCCGTTGTCCCTTCTGGCTGTGCGGGTCTGAGGCCTGGCGGATCGAGAATTGGTCAGGCAAGCAAGCTTTTGGCCCAGCTGCCTATGCCAGAACCTTAACATAACTTAACGAGCCGCACGCTTTTGCTGGCGAGTTTGTGTGTCAATCGAGCTTCTGGGGTCTTGTGCGGAGGTCTCGCAAGAGCTGGGGCTGGTTGGATGCCCGTCAATGAGACTGTGGCGGCCTTGCAATTGAATGAATGAGGCGTGTTAGGGGAGCATGTGGATGAGTGCTTTGTGACTGTGTGTTTTGCTTGGTTTTCTTTCTGAGGCTGGTGGGCTTCTCGCCAGATGAAACTGATGACCTGGTGGGGCGCTTGCATGTCGTGGCCGGGGTAGCCATGGTTTCAAGTTGTGATAGAAGCACAGCATAAGACCGGACAAGATGTCAGTAAGCTGAATCTTTTTGACGTCACATCAGCTGTGTCACGCACAGGTGGGGCCACAGCAACCCTTCAGGTCACACGATTTGGGAAGGCGCCCGGGCTGCCAATATCTCACGTGTGCTCTGCAAGGTCGATTGCCCTCCAACCGCTGTCTGTGTTCGTCGGAGCAGATCCTGGGGCGTCTTGCAGATTTTCCCTCCAGGCACCAAGGTGTTTTGAGGTCTTCTCAAGCTGCCTGCACAGTTCTGCAGGCAGGGAGCAAGCAAAGCATCTTTTACCACAAGTTCAGCTTCATGGCTCTTGGGGCCGCAGTTGCATGTTGCGGTGGCAGCACGCATGCCCGGGCTGTTCTATTTGAGGAGGCATTCGCCGGAAGGCGCTTCTTCCTAGCGGCTGCGCAGGACTCGGAAGCTTTGAGAGGCGCATCAGTGAGGATAAAACTTGGCTCGTGCACAGGATGCAGTCGTGGGAGATGCGCTGGAGGCACGGGCCGCGCAACGTGTCGGAAGAAAAGCCGTAACTGTTTGGCTTGGCCGCAGCTCCAGCAGCGTAAGCTTCGAGAGGTGGTCCTTAGAGTTCTTGGTGATGTGCCAGCGGGCCAAGAGGAGGAAGCTACTTGTGCAGGGCCAGCTTTCCTTGATTGTTGTGCCTCAACACGCAGGAGGTGAACACGCTGCCTGCTGTGTAACTTGCAGCAAAACAGAAGCTGCACATGCGTGCTGCTGTGCCAGTCACTTAGATGAAGGAGCTCCTCAGATCTTATCGGCTTTTGTGTTCCGCCGCCGCGAGCTTCGAGGGGGCACCTTCGAATCCCGCCAACGAAGACTAGACCAGCTGTCCCAGCTGCAAAATTCGAGCCATGGTCTCCTTGCTGGTGCGACTGGTTGTTTTAGCCCTATCCGTGGCCTGCGTGCAGGGTCTCTTGACTTCAGATGCTTTTTGTTTGTTGACTGCAGCTAGAACATGCGCTAGGCGTTAGCCGCGAGCTAGCACTGTGTCCTCTGCAGGCCTGGACGTTCTTGGGGGGGCATCGACTCAACACAAGCACAAGCACAAGCATCACAAGCACCACCACAAGGAGCACAAAGCACTTTCCACAGCCCCAGCATCCCCAGCGCCACCGAGCCTTCCGCAGATTTCCTTGCCAAGCCAGCCCAACCCGACAGAACCAAAAAGCACAGACGCCGGCCAACAAGAGCTGCAGCACATTGCTAAACAGCTTCAGAGTATGGTGGCGCCGGCCGAGCCCTCGACCCAGCAAGGAGTTCAGCTTGCCGCCTCAGCTCCAGTGCCGGCAGTGCCTTCAACCCAGTCATTGGCAGTATTTGATAGCGAAGCCCAACAGGCTCGAATGCGTTCAATAGCTTGACTTTCTTTGCAGCTCCACTAACTACCGAGTGCAGTTTTGCCGTTCTGCCAGCTGTTTGAAGCTGCTTGTGCAGGCCTTGCCTGCCATCGTCGATGATGTGCGAAAGGCAGCAGCCCACAAAGCACCGCTGGATGAACTCAAGCAAACCCGCAGCTCGGAAGTTACATTGCTGAAGGAACAGGAGGCAGCAATCACAGTCACAGCATGCGCGCAGGTGTGGATTCAACGCGAAAACTGCTGATCAGGCTCTGCTGACTGCTGGGCAGGCGGGCTTGGACAAGAGCGCTCTGCAACAGCAGGCGCGGGCGTTGCTTCATGGGCGCTCCTGGAACGCCTGCTTCACTGCTACATGCGCAGGTCGACTCCACGAAGACCATGATTCAGAGCTTGGACAGTCAGATCGCCTCCAAGCGCCAGGACGCAAAGCTGGTGATGCCTAGAGAGCCAAAGAAAAGGGCCTCCCTCTTCACCAAGCAGGATGCCGTGAACATATTGGGCAAGGCGCTCTCAGACGCGAATACGGCTCTGGTGCAAGCATCCAGCGAGGACCGAAAGGAGAACTTAGATGCCAAGCGGTCAAATCTGTGAAGTCTTTCCGTACCCGGAGGAAGCAGCCCAGGAGGCCGCGGCAAAAGCAGCTGAGAAGCAGATCAAGGAAAGGATCCTCTTGTCGTACTTCGGCTCATGCTTTGCGCTGTGTCAGCGCAGGTTGCTCAGCAGCAGAAGGTGAACGCGAAGAAGGCGCAATCTCATGCAGTCGCTGCTGTGCGCAGCAGGGTTTGAATTGCTGACAACCCTCTCCTACCATGTGGTTCGCGGTTAATGGCCTTGATGACAGGTCATTGAACAAGCACAGAAGGTCTGGGAATGCCAGCAGCGTTGCCCCTTTGCTGAGTGCCATGTGGTTGAAGTGATGCCAGGTCATGGAAGTCTTCGGTGGCCTCATCCCTCCGACCCCACGACCTGAGGCCCAGGACCCTTCAGGGCCAAACCTTGTAATGACTTGACGCCTTGGCTTTGCTAAGGTGTTGGCTGTGTCTCCATCGCCAACTCCTCCTCAAGCAAGTGAGCCACAAGAGCTGAGCTAGAAGCCTGAGACAACTTATACGGATGTATGAAATTGCTTGCTGCTTAATTTCCTTTGTGTATTCCCAGCTTAGAGTGCAAGAGAACGGGTAACGTTTTCAACTGTTTCAGCCTTGATGCTTGCCTTACCAAGTGGCATTCAATGTTGTTGAGTAACTGTCGTTTCATATTAACTAATTGAATTCTATAGCTATCACCCCAAGACATCCATCCGCGCTGCCGTTGGCCCGTGTTGAATACGCGGCCGGAAGAGGCCTTCGTCTTAGGTGACGTTCTGCTGCGCGCGCGTCCAAAAGAAAAGTAGCTGGAAAACAACTGCTCACACATTAGTCATTTATTGTCCGTGCCGATGCTGCCTCCACTGCTGCCAGTTGTGGTGGTGGCGGTGGTGGTGGTGGCGGTGGTGGGGGTGGCGGGGGTGGGGGTGGTGGTGGGGGTGGTGGGGGTGGTGGTGGGGGTGGGGGTGGGGGTGGGGGTGGTATTGGTGTCCGTAGAGATGCGCCCCTCTGCTTTTAAGGGCCTCAATGTTCGGATCCCCCAGTCTAATCCCTATTAGGGCGAGGGTTTATTAATCAGGGGTCTGGGTTACATGAGACAACTTCCCCGAACTTGGATCTCTCGAGCCTTCTTGTTCTTACTCACCCCAGATTGTAAGAGAGCGGCCTCACACAGGTCTTGGCACTTGGAATATTGTAGACCTCTTATTCAAAAATCACCCTCCTCAACAGGGATCGTAATAGGGATCCTAACAGTAAGGCCCTTAAAAGGAGGGGGTTTATTAATCACGGGTCTACATTACCTAGAGTCTCCTTATTTGTTGCTTCTGGATGCTTGATAGTCATTTCACATGTAGACACTGTCCTGGGGCCCGCGTTCTTACAGTGGTTTGAGAACTTGGAGTTACGTTTACCATGAATAAGAATATGTAAGTTGATCATACAGTTCTACAATGTTACATGACCTTGAAGCAAATGTGCTTGGATGACAGTGTATTTTCTCTGAAATGGTTGCACGGAAGCCTGAGCATTGGTTTGAATAAGCTTACTAAGCACTGCTGAGGAGACCTTCGATCAGGATCTTGAATCAGAATTGCTAGGGCAGTAGACCCATAATGGTTGGGAATATCAAAAAATTACCATCAGGGAACCTGTGACAGGATTATGGGTTTCATGGATTCTAGTTAAGCATTTGTTGCGTTAGAATGAGTTACGTGGATCATTGGTGCAGGAGTTCCAGTGGTTTCGCCGGAAGTCATTGCATTCGTTATGCTCCTATACCAAAATGTGTAGCAACAAGCCCAAATCAGATTCCCTTTGAGGAGTTCCATGAATCTCGAGCAAGCCCTTCATTCTCTAAAACCTCTTTCAAGCAGTTTGCACAATTCTCAACATCCTTTCAAGCCATCATACCTTGAGGCCAACTTCAGGAATTGACCTCAGCTTGTCAATCTGGTTATGCAGGTATTTCGAATTTATGGGGTTGACGTTTGATCTACATTGTTCTTGTTAAATCAATTAGCCTGATTCTGAACAAAACCTAATGAGATTCTCTCGTAGGTATTCCACAAATCTTCAGCAAGCCCTTCATTCTTCAACACCCTTTGCAAGAAGTTGGCGTAATTCTTGAAACCAGTTCAAGCCACAACTTCTTAAGGCTGACTTCAAGAATTAACCGCAGCTTGTCAATCTGGTTATGCCTGGTTTGTCAGTCTGGTTCTGCACGTCATCCCACCTCATACAACTCATAGAACTCTCAAATCCATAGCCGGCTTTGCTGCAAAACACAAGCCCCATGGCAGGCCCTTCTGAATCGTAAACGTCAACGTAGAGCATCAATCTCATTCGCAGTAAGCTGACATCCACTAAGGAAAACAGATTTGTGAGTTTCAATCCAGATAAGCCTCCAAAGTGGCTCCAGAGCGTACATTAACACAACATGGTTACCATACATGGTAAGTTGAGTGGTTTCCTTTAGCCGCAGTTTACGCACGTTCAAGTTACTTAACAGCAACCTTCGGGTCCGAAGCGCCGGTAGGCAAAATCCTGAGGGCTTGGGGATCATACGCCCCTATAGTTCCCCTTAGGTAGATAGAATATGGGGTATATGGGGATCTTGTTATAGTATACCCAAAGCCATATTCTATCTACTTAGGGGGGGACTACACACGCTAAACCCCTGCCTTTGAAGCAAGATCTGCTCCTGAGGCTGTTTTTTTCAAGTCATGGACCTTGGGTGCTACAAGATCTTTGAGTCATTGGACGGCAGGCAGGTTCATGACCTACCTTAAGTGCGTGGGCAGTTGTAAGTGGGGTGAAGTAGAGCCGAATAGCCTGTACCCTTTTAGGGGATGCTTGCCAACCCCAATTACCCTGGCCTGACAAGTTGTAATTGGGTTTTTAAAAATTTACTGTACCTGGTAGTACCTGCTGTTCTCTAACTGAAGCAGCAGTGGGATGGAGGGCAGAGTTAGCGTTTCCCAGCCCACTCAAATCTTCAGCCCGCGATCGTGCTGCTCCCAAGAACCATGCCAGGATGTGCCGAGCGATAAGTTCCCAGGCTTCTGTAACCCTAAGCCCTCCCGCATCTTGATACACCGTAGCCCTTCGAACAGTCTTGCCCCAAAGAGGGAGCAGTCTCTAAAGTCCGGCCTCTGCTTGACATAGGCGCTTGCAAGCATATGATTGGACTGGTGTTGCGGCATATGGGGTTGTTCAAATTGCTCTGGTCTACAATCGAAGCACCCTGAATCACCCTGACGCCGTGCGTACGTAGAAGCTGTCATCCGTAAGGTTTCATTGAGGGGACCGAAAGCGGACAATCCTCGCAGAGAACACCGTACTATCTGAGAACCCGTCTACCGTACACCCGAAATCCCAAACTACAACATGAACCACACACCCCTAAATCCTTAGTCCCCTTTATGTAGATAGCATATGCCCAATATCATAACAAGGCCCCCCCCGCCCAGATTCTATCTACCTGAGGGGGACTAATGGTAAGTTACCAACACCGCGGTGCAGGAGCATTGCGCCTTACCAGGCAGTGCGACGTCAGCCAGGGCTTTCCAAACCTAACAGTCAGGTACGTTTATAGGGGCATCTGAGCCACAGTCTAAATTCCTTTAAAGGGGGTTATATAGGGGATTATGTTGGGGAGTATTCTAGGGTTTATTAAGGGGGATACTAGGAGTTTAGACCATAGCTCATCTAGGAGCACGTGAAGCTCCATAGGCAGCTAATAGGTTGCAGGTCTAGGGTTGTAGGGTTTAGGGGAGACGGATGGGCGGGCATTCATCCAAGCCCATGCTCTCAAAAAGTGGAGCCATCTAGTCATCCTAAAGCAACTGTGGATCAGCTTGGTCCTTGAGGGGACCGTGGTACCCCTTGTTTTGAAGCCATCTTCCAATCTCCTTCATGTTGGCCTCGGATTATCAAAGTGGGTCGGATTAGAGCTAGATCGGGCCTGAATGGAATAACATAAATGGCTACGGACTAGAGCTAAATCCGGTCTCAATGGATTAATAACACTATATAGACGGATTAGTATATGCTCGCTTCTGGAAATGCCCAAGCAAAGGGAAAACAACAAAAGACAGAGCGAAGAAAGCCAGACAAGCGAGAGACAGCCAGCCAGTCTAAGCAATTTAGGGTTGAAGTACTTAAGGGTTTAAGGTTGACCAGTTCAGAGATCATTCATCGAGGTTTGGGGATCGGGGTTTAAGGTTCAGGGCGCTAAGTTCGGGCTTGAAAGTTAAGTAAAGGTTCAAGGTTCGGGGCTGGCTGAGACCCCCCCCCCCCAAACAAGTTGTCCCGAACTTGATTGGGCCCACCTTATTATACCTTATCTATATCCGTCCTTGTTAGCCGGGAGGTTAAAATCAGAACCCCCCATTAACCATGCTGGTCTCTCAACCCGAAATGAAAAGAAGGGTCCTCAAATCAAAGCGACGAGCAAGTATCACGCGGCGGGATGCAGTTGGATTTGCGAGAAGATCCCAACCTGGATTTCCTAATCCCTTCCCCTAATGATAAAGCTCAAACAGAAGCCCCCAGAGAGAAGCCCACAACCTTGGAAGATCTCGGAAGAATTCGTTTTAATAGTGGCCAGCTGGGATCCCTATGGTAAGAAAGCAGCCGGGGTTCTCAGGGAATTCGGGGAGTCGTTGTATGGAATGATGAGAATTGGGAATCTCCTTATTTCGTTGTTACTGTGTTCTAACTGATTTTAGTCAGATTTGTAAGTGGTTTTAGGTAGTTAGAGTTCAAGTTCAAGTGGTTTCAATGAGATTTTTCGTTTACATTCAATAGAGCTTGAAAGATTGAGAAAAATTGAATTAACTGATTGTACTTGCGTGCTTGGTTGGTTTTCATTCTGTTTCATCTAGTTTACATTAGATTTGCCCGGCTTCTGTTACTTGATTTCAATGGTAGCTGGGTTTCAATTGATTTTTTCGTTTGATTTGAGAGGGAATCTCCTCAAAATCTGGGCTTGCTCCGCTTACAGTAACTAAACAGGCCTGGCTTTCGACCCCCTTGCGGGGGGAGGGAGAGGTTTATCATCATCAGGTTTAGAGAAGCGGTTACTAGGACCCTGTCGCAAGATGTCGAATTAAGAGCCGGAATCATAGCGAAAAAGCACGCCTGGTTTTCCCAACTTATGTCAACTTTCCAGGACGGTTCGCACTCATGTGAGCTGTAGTCTAAACTCCTTAAAGGGGTTATATAGGGGCTTATATAGGGGAGTATTATAGGGGTTATTGAGAGGGGTACTAGGAGTTTAGATTATATGTCACTATAAACCCCCAGTTTCCATTTCATTTTTCATTTTCTTTTCCATTTGATTCTCCATTATTAGGGCCCTTAAGCCATGTAGGTTCATAGGTTTAACTTCTAGCATAGCTGCAGCCTGACGCGCTTCCAGACTTTCGGGATCCCGAATCTAAAGGGTCTAGAGCCTGGGTAATACACTAGAATGGGATCATAGGGTTTAGGGTTTAGGGTTT